GGAGTATTACCCACTGTCGGCTGTCCGCAATTGGCTATTCATTATAGACCTATTCCCAGCTAAGTTCCATGTCTGGAGAACTACTTCGGGTATGTAAACTGCTTATGTAACAGAAATGGGGAACTATTATCTTCCCTTAAAGAACGGCTACTTCGGAAACTATTAACAAGATGCAGTATTATATCAAAGAGATACTTGAATGATGTTATGTTAAGCATTACGATGTTCAACACCACGGTCGACACTTCACTTGAGATAGGCCTATATGCAGCGATCAGATGGAAAGTAATTATAGCTGGGTTATATATGAAGACTAATTAAAACTTCACTCGTCAAATAATGATCCAGTAATGAAAACAGACACTATAATTACTGTGTCCCCTGAGTTCAGAACACGAAGTTTATTCTATAATCAACTACCGTTCCCAAACAAGCACTGCGCCAAATATTATACTCTGCGAGAACTAGGGTCATACTGTGTGATACGAACTGAAAGTCTACTGCTACGTGCAAGCGAAATAAGGATAAAATGGGCAATGAGACTTTACTGGGCACTGGCGTCAATAACCAGACCCTAGTGACCATGAAGTTGACCTGTGATCTTCCGTGGGGTAGGACACGTCTTGAGATCAGTCTTTGTGGGCAACCTGACCGTACCCCGGTTATTGCTTACACCATGTGTCGCCGGTATTTGCTAATTCCCTGTGCTACCAAACAGAAACATTTAAAAATCATCATTCACATTAAACAAGAAAGATAGATATGCAAAACAAAATTAAAAAATAAGAAATAAATGAAAATATACGGAAACGGGAAATGATCGATGGAAATAAATGTAGACGGAAGGGCCGAAACAGAGAAAATCGATATACGTATCTCTAACTAATGCCTGATGTATTTAACAACAACAATTCCACATATTATAACCATTATTCCGTTAATCTGCTTGTATTATATATTTAGTAAGCAGACATTCGATGAGATTATGTTGTCATCTTCCTTACAGACACAGACACATATTATGTAGATACACTGGGCTATTTACATACTTACAAATATATGCCTCATATAACCATTAATACTCAGTACATATACACACATGCATACATACACACCCATACGTACTTACATACATTAGGTCTATGATTACATAGTAAGCAGGCACAGATAACATGGACAGGTTTAGAGATATGTAAAATAAGATGAATATATGCATTCATATGTATACATACACATTGCTGCACTCATAAATTTATATACTTCTCATAAAAAAATTAAACAGGCTAGAGAACATCAAAGGTCTCACATAGTTTAAATTACATTTCCTTGCGGCCGGCCATGTTGCTATTACGCACTAGCTCAGATGAACTTTATTCCATTTAATTTAGTAACTTAGGAATTCCTGTAGTAAGATTTTGTCTTCTTCTAGCTCAGTTATCGACATTCTTTCTGCTGCGTAATTTCTGGAGTGTCGAGTGGGAAGTTAATTATCAATGACCCCACAAGAAACAAGAGTCCTTCCTTATAAACCGAAAATACACTCTGACTCACGAATTCAGTCCATACCCTCCCGCCCTGTATTCTTCTAGTAAATTCTAATCTTATACTACCATCTATGTTTGGTCTTCTAAGTTGTCTCTTCCTTTTAGTATTTCAATAAGAACTTGTTAAACACATGTGTAATACATAATTCGCCCATCGAAACATCCTCGATCATTTATACGGTATTGATAGAATACATCCAAATACATTTTAAACTCTCTTACCAAACGTCTTCCATTTGCATTCTTTGCTATGTGTTTCATACCCACGCACAAAAACAGATAAAATTAGAATGCCTGTTTATTTTTATGAATTTTTGAAGTCCTTATAATTTTAAATGGCATAAATAAGCACAAAAGTTCTGAACTGCATTTTAGCAAGCATTCACAGAATTTAATCTGATTATAATGTATGTAAAAAGCAACGAATTAATTAAATGGAAGAAGGGAACAAATTATCAGAACTTTCCATCATAGCAGCCAAACGTGTGACCAAACCCTTAACCCGGGGCTTGCTGAATACAAAGCACGAGCGGCGTTCGATGCCTGGATAATTAAGTAGTATCATAGAATTCAACCGTGGGCATCGGCCGAGTTGTTTAGTACTCTTGCTTCGTGTTTCAGATTTCCTGGTGTTCATATCTAATTCTGGAGACCAGAGGTTTCCGTTGTTTTCCTCGGTCCTTCCTATCTTACATTAGACCATGTTAGCTTCTTTTACCATTCACATGCATTAATCATTGTATGATTCAACGGAACAGAATTTGATCTACGGAAAGCGTCATTAAATAACACACATTCTATGAATGGAAACAAAATTCACTAACCGTTAAATAAGTCACTGGCACTTCGTGAGTTATCTAATCTACCGTAGGTGTTCAAAATGACAATCGTTAGCTTCGTGGCTTAGTTGACAGGATCTACCGTAGGTGTTCAAAATGACCATCGTTAGCTTCGTGGCTTAGTTGACAGGTGTGGGCAAATGATAGACAAGTTTAATATTCCTTATTAGAATGTATACAAATATTTTTGGGATAGCCTGTCAATGTTAGAAAATTGTAAAAACATTATCCATGTAAGATAGAACTAACCTGTTCAATTTCGAAAATAGCAGTGTTTGTTCAGAATTACCCCAGTGCTACCACGAGACAAAATTTTCCCATTTTGAGAACTCAGCTGTGTCTGGATTAGACTTAGTCTGTATTTCACGTAATTGTAGTAGGAATTGTTCACCGACCTGATAATCTGATAACACTGGTTTTAATCATGTTCATAGTTGTATCGGTAACATATCAAACACAGGAGAACAACAATACCTATTCGAATGGGCCTTCATTTAACAATGCTGTCAAATGATCTCGAAAAACGAAACCATTATTAATTGTTAATGCTTACACATGTCACATTTGTATGTAAACAGTATTCAAACAAATATACTGGCATGACTTGATGCACACACATCGACAAAATTAGCCTATAAAAAGACGAAATACGAAGTTTCGAACCAGTTCTTCAAATACTATATTTCCTTTCCATATTTAATGACTAAACAAATAAAGTATCAAACGAGACCTCTGTTTCGATTCGGAAATGTTTAATAAGGGAATATTTAAAATCGTAATTAAGGTACTTCACGTTTCATTCATACAGGAACCGATTCCATTTGCAACTGTTTATTTAACAGCAATTTTTCCGCCTAATATAAATTAAATGATAAATATTTGCAATCAAAACAATGTAATTCTTCATGATTCAGTAGCAAAAATTTAATTTATGCACATTTCTTCCTTTTAATAACTAATTTCTGCCATTACCGTGGACTGACAGAGAAGCAATCCTCAAATTCTCTCTAGAGCATCTAACTCAGAAATCATGGTCTTTTACAGACTGGGGCACGACGTTTTAAAGCTCATGGAAATTCTGATAACCTGTTACTTCAAAATAGACTTACTAATTTCAACGCCCCATATTTAAAGGAATCGTCTACTAACTTGTTGGAGTATAATTATACGTCACTACCAAATGGATATCAATATAATATTTGTGTACCCATAACCATCAAGAAATTTGGCACGCTTGCATGTCTCTGAGACATTCACTTCCAAAGGTCCACACTTAAAACTTTATATTTACCATCTTGCAGTATAGCATCCCGGTGTGCCAACGTTTGTTGACTTAATAATTGTCACTTCTTACACGTGCCCTCATTACTGTTTTTTAAATCAATACAATTTTCTCGGCGATGGTTAAACGATGAAACCGACGTTTCACGGACCATCTCTGTCCCCATCATCAAAACCCTGATGATGGGGATAGGGTTGGTCCCTGACTTACTTCGACGCGAAAGCTTCAAATCATATATGTTTTTAAATGTTCGCCTGTTAACAAACTACATGTTTCGACGGGAGATTTTCATTGTCAGGTTCACGTTTTTTATGGTAGTTAAAGCAACTTCTCAATGCGCACAACATTGAGAACTTGCATTCAACTTTTAGTTCCAGAAAAATTTAATAAAACATTTTGTAAATATTAAAGTTAAAATCACTAAAAATAATTTAAACATGAGTTACGTTGTTAGGTTGTACTGTCGTTTGTAGCAAAAGTGCACAAAACAGGAAAAACAATAACCTCAGATAAAAGACACTACAACGTAACAACAGAAACAATTATGCTGTAATCATTATTTTAGTTTCTCTAAAAGATTTCAACTTTAATACTAACGGAATAGTTCAGAATCTGTATCTATACAAAGCACCGAATGAAAGACAATGCAGTTTGAATTCAGAAAGTGCAAGATCGGCATACACAATGTGATCCCGATCATCATCATGTGTAATTCGGTAAAAGACAAACACTTAAAATCAATGACAAATCGTTTGTAAAATTAAACGTTGATAATGATATGAAGTCAAAAATCTTTCTCACTGCCCCTCCATCTACATCGTTATCTTTGTGGATATGTAAAAGTTACAATTTCCGTTTTGTTAAACCTGCCTTAAAAAATATACATACAAGTAAGAGGGAGTGAACCTCTTCACTAATATCATAAATTCGATGTGACATGAACAGGAAAGTCGGTGACTGAACGTTCTACGACCCATTCTTTGAAGTAATGATCATTCTGCTTCAAGTTCACAAACGTTTCACGGCCCACCATGTGAGTAAATGCGTACCTCAGCTATCCACCCGATGATAAAAGCGGTCGCAGCGTGAAAGTGCTCTCCTGTATTCCGTTATGGTGTAATGTCTGGGCAAAGACATGTTTTAAATTTCGGCCTTCATTTAATCCTGCCTTTTTATGTAAATAGCCATAAAATTGACTGTTCCCAGAAAACTGTTAAGGCTATGCAGCAAGGGGAATGAGATGCGGAGAGAACGTGGAAGTTTTGCCACATGATATGAAATGCATGTTGCGTAACTCTGCGGGGAGCTTGACCTGGTCACGTTTTGCTTCCGCAGCTCCAGAGGTGATGATCGTCGACGAGGAAGGACGCCCTCTGCAGGACAAGTACTACGAGGCAGAGAGCACCATCCAGCTCTCTTGTATCGTGCGGCACGTCGCTATGACGTCATCAGTTGTTTCCTGGTTACATGGGGATAGGACGCTGAACTACGATACAACAAGAGGTGGAATAAGGTAATCAGCAAGAAAACTCGATCTGATCAAGGCACTGATTCATTGTTCCTCCCACGTAGATTGCAAAGCTCATGGTCACGTTTTTATTTTTCTTGGGGGGGGGGTTCTTAAAATGAAATTCTTATTCCCTGTATGGCACGTATATTAATGCATTAATATAAAATATACACACTAATCTTCAAGAGTGATAGAAACGTCACGCAACACATTAAAAATTTGTTGTTGACTGTTTTTTCCATACAGTTCGACTAAATTCATAAACACACAATATCGATGAGACTATATAAGAGCTGAAGAAAGTTACGTGATGTTATAACCTGCTTCATCCATTGCGTCAGTGGTCTTTAGACAGTCGAAGTGTAAGGATGTTGGATTTAGTTTTTCACGACGGTGAGCGAAAAGAAACCTGTCTTCTGGGTTTTGCGCCGTGTAGTCTGGTAGAAGTTTACCGAAGTTTCAGAGGTCCTTGCTGCCTCTATCATTATTATCCTGATGATGGGGGCAGCAAGGACTACTGAAACGTCAGTAAAAGTCTACCGGACTACACGGAGCAACAACCCAGAATATAACCATCTTCTGTATGGATGTCTTTTTCACAAGTGAATCTAGTGTTCATTGTCGAAAACTACCACGCAACTCTTTTTTGTTGACTTCCTAGAACGAATATATGAATACATTTCTTGACTCTCCTGTGTCAAACAAATCGATAATGTCTCGTCTACTGAGCCATTTCCGTGACATACGAACTCTTTGCAGGGTTGCCTCAAAGGAGAGGAAAAGAGGAAATGCTTGCATCGCTGAACGCGGTGGGAGTTTCCTGCACTATACAACGTCATCTTTCTTGATTTTCTAATTTCAATGTAATTCATTTTTTTACAAATACAACACGCGTCAGCAATGGGTTTCGCGACTTTTCGATCAATATATATATATATATATACACACACATACACAGACGGATATTTAGCCCTTAGAAGCCGAAAGGGAGAGTGTTAGGAACGAGTGCAAGAGGGCAGAACCAAAGTGAAAATTGGTAGGGGACAAGCGAGAGACACTTTATTCTGAGTGCCAGAAACACCATCTAATAGTAAGAATGTTCCTAGGTAATATTCGTCCGTTATTCTGCTACGGATACAGTAAGAGTGAAGACCTTGGGGGAATAATTACTGAGAACTTGATGACAAAGACGGAAGAATTTTGATTTGACAAGTAATTTAGTGGCCTCCACATTAGGAGGTGAATGTTGGTGGTGTTAAATCGGGAGGGTTGCATGAGAAGCATGCATGGCAACTTGGAAATTGGGAAGAATCTCAGAATTTGCTAAAAGACAGAGGAAAACCAAGAACAGTTATGTCGAGATAGCCGGACGCAGGACCTACTGGGTGCACACTGAATACTAGTCAGGTTCCCGCCAGACAAAAGAAGTAGCAGCCCCCTACGTTTCAGTAACTTAAGCGTCATGGGCTCTATTGGTATGTTTTAGTGCATTGTATGTAACAATGCAATACAATATAATAATATTTCCATAATCAACTTCAGTCGTGTGTGTGGCCTTAAATGCTGCCTAGGGAGTGGATCCGATGAACAGGCGGTTAGAATGAGGAATATTTTACCCAAACGAGATTTTAATTTATTTGATTGTGTGTTAATGGTATAGTACATGAGAACACACTGCCGTACAAGGGATTGGTTGAATAGTACGGCCCGCGGTTTTTATGTTTATCAAACATAATTTCATACTAAACTAATTGCCTGATATAAGGATTCTCACTGAATTGTTTTTGAAATATAATTTACGTTCTAGTTTCCTGACATGGCGTTTTGTCTTCTCCATGCCAGTTTGTTCAAGTAGCATTTTGATTGGCGTTTCTCATGAAAGTTTGGTAATAATTCTCAGTAACTTATTCTGAAAAACTTGGAGTTTACTGAGGTGCGATTTACCGCATTACTTAGGCCGGTGCCTGCGTGCGTTATTAATTTTTATGAGGGTTTCTTGGATTCTTAATGAAAGGTTAATGTCGATAGTGAAGAACTTGTTTAGGATAGAGTAGAATTGTCAGAGTCTCTGTGGTTGGCTTTGCTCACTGCTATATTTATTTGCTAAGTGTAGGTGATTTTCCGATCAAGTATGACGATAAGATATTTGACCCCATTTAACCAGACAATATTAATATCAAAAATCTTAAGTAGGGGGGTACATCGTTTCGGACGTGGGAGAGTCGTTTAGAGAGTAATGTGATTGAACATTTATCAGCATTCATTTTAATCCTCCATTTTTCAAACCAATACTCAAACGTTTTGATAACATTGTTTAGTGTTTTCACCACTACGTTTACGCGGCCTGAATGACCAGTAACATTGATACGGTTACATTTTTATCATATTCTATATATGGTACATCGTGTAAGTAAATATTAAATAATACAGAACTTAACAGGCTACCTTTGAGGACTCCTGCTAGAATAGGACGTATAGTAGATTTAGAATTTCCATGGACATCATTGAAGACTGTATTATGAAGATAGTTATTTATAATGCGTATATATTTGTATGTTTGTACGCTGGAAGAAACAAACGCCTAATTATTTCGTGCTAATTATTGCATGCCCCTTCAGTTTCCAAAAGACAAGTGAAATTGACATCACC